TAGCGTGTGAGCTAGAACACAGGGGGGTGTGCACTCTTGGAGCAAAGCTCAGGCCAGCTTCCTATAACGTGTAAGAAATAGTCTGCAAGGGCCTGAGCTGCTTCAGTCTCATCCTGGTCCGTCTGAGGCCTTGCTGCTCCCGGTGAGGCTGGAGCAGGTGAGCCCTTCTGCCCAATGGGGACACCTGCTTTCTTCATTCTTCCAGTCAATCAACCAGTGTTTATTGGACACCCATCATGTGCCAAGTCCTGTCATAAAAAGCGCGGTTACACTGTGGTAAACACAATAAAGGAGGTGCACACAGCATCAGAGAGGCCCATAATCAGGCCCTATTATAAGATATATAATCAGTTCTCTAGGGGCCTATTATTAGGGCAACAGAGCTAATCTGGTAAAACCAAGGAAGTGGTGACAATTATGTTGAGATCCAAAGAATCCAAAGAATCCAAAGAATCAGTTTACTAAAGAGGGAAATGGGAAAAACCCAGGCACAAGGGACCTTCTGTAAAAAAGACCTGCTGCAGGACAGAAAATGGCATTTGTATCAGTTAGATGTTGCTGCGTAATAGGTCACTCCTAAATTTCATGGCTTAAAACAACAACTTTGTTTCTTTGGTACTGAGGACTGAACCCAGAGCCTCACACATACTAGGCAAGTAGTCTACCACTGAGCTACATCCCAAGCACTTTTTATTTTAGTTTTTATTTTATTTTGAGACAGGGTCTCACTAAGTTGTCCAGGCTGGCCTTGAACTTGGGATCCTCCTGCCTCAGTCTCCCACATTGCTGAGATTCCAAATGAGTGCCACCTCACCTAGCAACAACCATGTTTTTAACCACCATGTTGAAGGTCAGAAATTTGGTTGGGCTCAGCCAGACTGCTCCAGCCATCCAGGCCAGGTTGTGACTGATCATTGGCTGGGGCTCCTGGCTTCTTTACTAGGAAGCTACCCTGGGCTTCTTCCACCTGGAGTTGGAAACTTCCAAGGGGCAGCGTTCACACCTCCATGCGTGCTCTTAATCTTGGTAAGGCCCCTGGCTTAGCCCACAGTCAGTAAGAGGACACCAGCCAGAGGTGTGTGTCTTAATTACTTCCCTCATTGTTTTTACAAAATACTCAATACCCACATTGTAAGGAAGGAAAGACATGTTCTGGGTTTCAAAGTCAGCTGGCTCCAAAGCAGGGCGGCATGGCAGAGGGGCCTGGTGGAAGAGGCTGATCAGAGCATGGTGGATAGGATCAGAATATATAAAGAGAGGAACCAAGAAGGCAGACAGACCCTTCCAGGTCACCACCCCACTGGTCCACTCTTCTAACCAAGCCCCACCTCCGAACACCACATTGGGCCATAATGTCCCCATAATCCCATCACCTTTGAGTACATGAGCATTTGGTGGGACATCCAGATATAAGTCACTACATTGTCCTCACAGGGAGGCAGATTTTCTACCCAGAAAATTTTCTACCAATTCTCTACCCAGAAAATTGAGGGCTGTCACCACAAAAATCTACCCCAGTGCAATCAATGAATTGGAAAATAAATAGGGCAACTCAAAAGTCAAGAGGGAAGGGAAGCGAAGAAGAGGGTGATACACAAGGTAGCAGGAGCCAGGACACGCAGGGCTGCGAACAACACTGCCAACATTCTACCTTATCCTAAAAGCAGGAAAGTGCTCTGGTTTTGGGCTCTGCCCAGTGGGTTTAGTCATCAAGATAAACTCTTCCCAAGTTTAACTTCACTGATGAACTGGCAACACTTCCCAGCTTGACAAGCTAAGGATGAGATCCAGGGCCTGGTCTAGATCACACATCCCTGCCTGCAGCCTGCACTGGAACTAGCACCCCAGCTTCTGGCTCTGTGCCCTTGCACCTGCCTCTCCCAGTCTGAGAAAGCCTTTCCCATCCTTCTCCATGGGGCCAGCTCCTCCCTTCCCACGCTCCGTGAAGGAACCGGGGCCTTGACTTTGCTAAGCCCAAAGCAGAAACACATACAATGGATTCTGTGGCCTAGGGAGCAAGTCTGTGGCTACTTCTAGTAGCCTGTGATTTCTACGACCAACCCCTTGGGTTGCCCACGCTGTGGTCATTTTGCCTGCTTGTCTCTCATAGACTGTGATTCTTGAAGTCCCCACAACCGATGTCTGCCCAGGAAGTCAGAAGTACTTGAAGGCATAAATTAATGAGTGAATGAGTCTACTGCCATTCAAACAGAGACTTCTTCTGAAAGCCTCTGCCAGCCTCCTAAAAGCCTTCTGCAGTTGAGAGGAAAGGTTCTTTCCAAGTAGGCCAGCATCTCCATTGTCTCCCAGTTCCAGCACGAAGCCACTTCCTCTGAGGAGAGAGGTCTCTGGCTCAGGACAATCCAAGCACAGCGGTCAGAGAATGAAGAGAGCGGAGCACCCGAGGGGACAAGTGCCACGTCATTCAGTATATCATGGACAGGACCTGCCAACTGTGGTCTCCATTAGAGCAGGTTTCCTTGGGTGGTAGAACAGCTCTCCGGGGGCACTGGGTGAAACCCACATGGAATCAGATGCCATGAAGTTAACTGATTGGTTGACTTGCTCACCACAGGATGGAGAAGAAGCTCTAATGAGCCAGAGGTGGAGAAAAGCTTCTGTGTCCCTTTTGCACAAGAGAAAATGGAATCCCAAAGAGATAAGCTTTGGCCTCATCAGCCACCTTAACAGTCATAGCTGCACGGATAAAAGACTACATTCCCCAGACTCCCTTGAAGCTAGATATGACCCCATGACCAGGTTTTAGCCAATGAGACACGAGTAGAAGAGATGTCTGTAACTTTGGAGTTGCGTTTATACTGCCCTTCCCAATTTTCTCCCTCCGTTGCTTGCAACCGTATCTTGGGCCATATATCCAAGGACACTTTAGGAAGGTACAGCAGCAACAACATCTGGAAGTCACCATACCAGACCTGAGTAGTTTATATCCACTGAGAATGAAAGAAAATGGCCTAGTTTACAACTTTGTGCCCATTAGGATGGCTATAAAAAAGGAAAAGGAACAGAGGGAGAGAGGGTATGTGTTGATGAAGATGTAGAGAACCTGGGGTCCTCATGTGCTGTTGGTGGGAAAGTAAAATGGTAAGTGTGAGATCAATCTTTATGTCTACTTGACAGTCTTGAGAAATGTCTAGAAGAGTCAGGCCGGGGATACAGTTCAGTGGTATAAGCACCTGCCTGGCAAGTGCAAGGTCCTGAGTTCGACTCCTGATACAAGAAAAAAGTTAAAGAAATGTCTAGGAGATTAGTGTAGCACGTTTCTGGTGGAGGGGGTGGATCATGGGAAGGGTGTGGCCTTGGGGACTGTATCTAGTCCCTGGCCCTTTCCTCTCAGGCTTCCCCCATTCTCCAGTTCCCAGATGCCATTGGCTGAGCAGCTTTGCTTCACTACACCCTCCACCATGATGTTCCCGCCTGACAGCCACGAACCATGGACTGAAACCCCTGCAATCGTAAACCAAAATAAACCATTTCCTCCTAAAAATTGTGTGTGTATTTTGTGACCAGTACAGTACAGTATGGTAGCTCCTCAAAATGGAATTGCCATTCTACTTCTGGATATATATATATATATAAAAGAACTGAAAATAGGATTTTTTTTCCAGTATTGGGGATTAAACCCAGGATCTTTGCACTGAGCTACATCACCAGCTTTTTCTATCTTATATTTTGAAAGAAGATCTCACTAAGTCACTAAGTTGCCCAGGCTGGCCTTGAACAAAGGATATTCCTCTCTCAGCCTCCTAGAGTCCTAGGATTACAGGGATGTACCACCCCACCCAGTTAAAAGTGGGATCTTGCAGAGATATTTGTACACCCATGTTTACAGTAGCATAATCACAATAGCTAAAACACAGATGCACCCAAGCATCCACTGAGACATAAATGAATAAGAAAAATGCAGTATATCATTAGAATATTATTCAGGCCTGAAAAGAAAGAAAATCCTGACACATTATAATATGGATGAACCTTGAGGACACAATCCTAAGTGAAATAAGCTAGTTACAAAAAAGACAAATACTGTAGGATCTCACTTATACAAAGTACTCAAAGTCATAGAGACAGAGAGTGCAATGGTTCCCAGGAGCAGGGGAGAAAAAAATGGGGAGTCACTATATAATGGGTTCAGGCTTCAGTTTCGCCAGTGAAGAGTTGTAGAGATGAGGGGTGGTGGTGGCTGCAAATGTTATGAATGTATTTAATGAAGCGTACACTTAAAATGGTAAAAGATGGACATTCTTGTTATGTGCATTTTACTTCAGTAGAAAGGAACTAAAAAACCCAAAAGGAAATGGCCTCTCTTGATTGGGCTCCCATTAATTAAGGAATTGGCTCCAGCTCCTGAATCTACATCCTCCCGGCTCATACAATACAGCCCAGGGCCAAGTATCCTCAGGAAGCCCTCCTTCCGACAGGCCGTCCAACCACCAGGCCCTCCCATTGTCCCGGCCAGCAAGCTGTGACCTCCAGCCACTCCCAGGAACCAGCTGCTTTCTTGCAAAAAGGGCTGGGAAAGCTGCTTGGAGGAACCTGCGGGATTGCCAAGGACGGGAGGAAGTAAACGCGGCAGATCCTCTGCCAGCGTAGACGCCAGTAAACCTGTAGCCTTTGTCCAAATATTCCCAGGCCAGTCCCTAAGCAGCCACGGCGTTGAGCCGCTGAGCCGCTGAGGCACTCAGCCACCCATCCTTTGAACAGCTCCCCCCACCGCCCCGGCCCCAGACGCCCAACAAGAGGGGCAACACACTGCACAGGAAAGAAGGCGGCAGGGCTCCTCCTTACCTCTGGCCACACCACTTGTTAATCTGCACGCACAGAGGGAAAAGAAGCCCCAGCTCAGGGTCGAGGGTGACAAGCTTTCTGAAAGGCATCGCTGTCGTTTAATTCCCACCCTCCTCTTGCTCTTCTCCCAGGAACCCCCAGACTCCCCAGGGGTCGGCTCTGGACAGCTCCCCATAGCCCACGACCACACCCGATACTATTGCACACTTTTATTTACAGAAAACACAGGTAAAGCATTTCAATGTTCATTTAGCAAACTGATCCACTTTTTTTTTTTTTTTTTTTTTTGGCACAAAGAAATTTCACAGATGGACCCCAAGATCAACCAGAAACTCGTAACAAGAAGACTCATCCGTCATCGCCGGTCCGGGGGCAGCCACGAGATTCAGACAGACAGACAGACAGACAGCATCACCACAGACTGGAGAAGATCAACAAGGCCCATGTTCACCTCACAGTTAGAACCTGCTCCCTGACAGGCAAGGGCGGGGGGCTATCTCTGCTCTAGGGGAGGAGATGGATGTCAGGGGCCGGAAGCAGGGAGCGGGGAGGGAGAGACCCCTTCCTATGTCAGTAAGAGGTGGTCCTTCATTTTCACCCCCTTCCCTTGCAGAAGTTAAAAAGACAGTACAAAACCACCAGGCCCACACTCATCTGTCCCAGAAGCTTGGAGGTTGGGGGCCGGGGTGCCTCTCCCGCCGGTGCCCATGTGCGCGTGTGGATATGTGAGTGGGGTGCTTGTAAACATCGTCACGGTCCACCGAGAGACCCAACATCCGCGTGTCCGCACGGGGTGGGGTGGGGGTGTCCCTCACTTCTCACGCCCTCTGCCCCAGGGATTGCCCTCCAAGACATAGTGCAAATTTCAGAGACAAAAAGAGGCAGGAGGGAGTGGGGCGGGCAGGGGACAGGAAGGACATAAAGATAGGGTGGGACGGGGCAGGGGGAGGGGGGAATAAGGCAACAGTTAGAAATGGTCCATGTCATCAAAACCACCCCCATGCCCCACCCCACCGCACGCCCACGTCACGAAAAGGGGCGGAAGTCTCGCTCCTCCACCAGGCTGATGGAGGGGTTCTTCAACTCCTCCTCCGACCTGGCCATCTTGTAGCCCAGCTGGGCCAGCACCTGCTGACAGGCATTCTGGGCGAAGGCCACAATGTCATAGGAGAGCCGGAAGCGCCACTTCTCCGCTGTGGCAGCCGAGTTCCGCACCGTGCCGTACTTGTGCTTGCCCAGGGTGGGGTCGCCCCGCGTGTTGTTCTGGATCCAGCGGGCCACATGGCTGTCCAGGGGGATCCCGAGGAACCCATAGATCTCCTCAGTCTTCTTCATGGGGTTCCTGGCCAGGTCCTCGTAGCGCACCAGCATGTACTTGCCCTTGAGCCACGAGGGCCGTGTGAGGCCAGTGGACACGGAGTTGGAGAAGTCCTCACACACCGTGGTCAGCTGCGTCACGTCCAGGTTGTACGGCTTCCTCCCTGTGCCGTACCAGAGCCGCCACAGCCGGTACGTGTCGCGGAAGGTCTCGCTGCGGGAAGCCAGAATGCCACGGGGGTCTCGGACCAGCTGGATGACCTTGAGGTTCAAGCGGGGGTCTTCGACCAGGGCCCGCAAGTCGTTCACCTCGGGCACCCGCACCGTCTTGATGGCCACATGGCTGCGCTCGCGACAGGCCTCTGCGGCCACAGTCAGGTTCAGGAGGCCGCACTTGCGCACACAGTCCCCCTCTTCCAGGACCAGGTCGGGGTTCCCCGGGGGGTCGCACACGGGGCGGGAGCAGAGGACCCTGCTGGCCCCTCGGCGGAAGATCCTGTCAGTGGTGTGGTTGACAGGGGGCGGCTTGATGTAGTTCTCCAAGAAGTAGAGGTCACAGTCATAGAGGCTGCGCAGGAGGTCGCGGCTGGCACCCAGCATGACCCTCCGGTCAGCCGGGCTCTTGCCCTGGGTGAAGCGGGGGATGAGCGTGTTCTGGACATGGTAGAGGGGCTCAAACAGGTAGAAGACGTCCAGGTGCTGGTTGAAGAGCTGGCCCACGAAGGACGAGCCGCTGCGTGTGGTGGCCAGGATGAGGATGTGGGTCTTCCGAGAGAGGTTGTAGGCGAAGGTAGGACCCTCCTCGCACAGCCGCTCGGCCACCCCGGCCTCGGCCAGCCCAGGGCAGGTGTGGAAGGACTTGGCTGTGAAAGTGCGGATGGCCGTGTACTGGATAGCGATGGAGGCCAGGGCCAAGAGGAGGACGGCCTTCCAGGAGCATTGCATGGCTGGCCACCTTCATGGGGCTGCTTCTCCAAGGCACGAGGTCTGCAGGCAAAGGCAGCCAGTGGTCAGGTGCCTCTCACGGCACAAGGGCCCAGGGAACACCCAGCCTCTGCCCAGGCACCCCTGAAGCCTAAGCGGCTTCCACGCTACACTTTGCCGTTCTCTGGGGGACTCCTGGGGACTTCAGGGCGCTGCACAAACTGTACCCAAGATCGAACATATAGATGGCAGCAGAGGCCTCCTACTACAAACTCCAAGCTCCCTACCAGGCCCTGCTGGGCAAGAGCTTAAATCCCCCGCTCAGCTCTGACACTTAAGGGAGCCTCAGGCCACAGTCTGTCACCACCTGCCACACTGCCGGCGTCTCCTGGGCCCCGTTCTCTTCCCTCTGTCACAGCAGGTGCCTCCTTCTGAACCCAGCCCCTGGCAGAAGGACCACCAGCATCTTGTCCAGGCTAACTGGGCCAGGAAGAATGGACAGCTGCCTCCAGTCTGTGGATACGGGTGACCAGCTACCTCCAGCTGTGGGCCTCTGGGCTCCTGGGATGTCCAACAGGCAGCTGGCCCAGAGCAGCATCCCTTCCCAGGCACCAGGGTTTGCTGTCACACAGCCACAGGGTGAGCCGCCCGCAAAGCCCGTCTCGGCCTGGGAGACAGAGATACGGCTCTGCCCTTAGCCCAGCAGCCCGTCCCTGTGCAGATGGGGGTGGGGAGGGACCACGGAGCGCAGAAAGGGACGTGTGGGGCCAGGATGACCCAAGCACTTTGCAGGTACCCCCGAGAGTCGAGCTCAGCTGCCGGCTGGCCGAGCACACACACTGCGGCTCCCAGAGAGCCTGACACTTACCAAAGAGGGGCCGTCCCAAGCTGGACAGTCTGCAGCCACCAGGGTCGCCAGGCCAAGCCAGCAGGGGTCCAGCAGTCCGGCCCCGTGCAGGGCCCAGTGGGCAGCAGCCTGCAGAGACAGGGAGGATCCCGAGGCTGAGGCTGGGCTCCCAGGGCCTCCCACATTCTCTCTTGTGCCGTGTCCCACAGGCCGCCCCCAGGGCCAGGGAGCGAGGGCCCTGCACGCCCCCCTGGATTGATCACTAACTCTGGGGCCCCAGACGACCAAGTGCCACCTCCGGTTCCCAAGATCTGGCCCGCATCTTGGGCTATGTGTCACCTTCACTTACCTCACTCACCCACCCTGACCCTCCCGACGAGCCTGCGCCCCTTCCCAGGCACAGCCAGCCCGAGAGCCGGCCAACCGAAAGCCAGCACAGCCCCCCACTGGCTCTGCATCTGAAACCTGCAAGACAAGTCTCCCCTTTCGAAATCCCACCTGCTCAGTGACTGGGCTGGAGGGCAGGTGGGGGGCTCAGCCCCAAGCCTCCAGGTCAAAAGCACAGCTCCAAAGGGACAGCCAGGAAGGCGGGCCTTCTTCCACAGCCTCACAGCAGACAGCAGAGCAGCTACCTGAAACGCAGAGCAGAGGTGGACCGGGAAGTTTGCTGACCTCAACGAGCTTCCCTAAGTCTGAGTTACAACACCGAGACGGGAGCAGTGACTCCGCCATCATCCACCGCGCGCTTCCGAAGCGCCGCGCCTTTTACCTGAATGAGCTGATTTATTCCCCGCACCCGTGCTCTGCCGCCACCCTCCTCAGGAGATCCCACGTCCTCTGGCTTTCTGTTCCTACAGCTGAACTGTACTTGGACTTCAAACACGCATTTGATTAATGGACCAGGGGGTTCCGAATCTGTACTAGAGAAGCAGGTACCAGAAGGGGTGATCCTTGCCTTCGCTGTCTGGCCTGTGCCTTCACCCGCTCAGGGCTGACGGGGCGGACCCCGTGCTTTGCGACTGTGTGTCACACACCCTGCTAGTTGCTGTGGTTCCTCTGGGGCCAGGCCAGTGGATCTTCACTTCCCAAACCTGGCTCCCCCCAGTCCTGGCACCATGGAATCCCTACAAATCCATAGGAGAGGCGGTGGCTCGCTCTCATGGTTCAGGTAGAGACTAAGGAAATATATATGAGCAGATAAGAAACAGCAGAAAGCACAGTCCCTCCAGGTCAGTCTCCAGCCAGGGCTCAGGCCCCTCACCGTCAGCCCCAAGGGAGGAAACAGAGCCGGCTTCGGTGAGGGGCACAGGGCCTGGGCTGAGGTCTGCTGCAGCTCCCAGGCCTGGGCATCCTGTTTGAAACACGAAATCTGACTTGCTGTAAATACAAATCGGTACGAGGTCCCCGAGTGGCAGTAAATAGAGAAAGAAGCACAGTCCAGATTCACTGAGATCAAAGAAAAAACCACATCCTCAACCACACGCCATCTCATCCAGCCTCACCTGCTTGCCTCAGGGGATGCTGCCCCCATCCCAGACTGAGGAAAGCCCTCCCCGCTGGGAACCTGGCTCTCCTGCCAATCACAGGCTGCTCCTCCGCCCAAGCGCCCAAGACAAAAACGAACACCATTGAAGAAGAAAACGGGCAGGAAACGCCAACCACAGGAGTGCCAGCGACAGTTTCAAGTAGTGAGGGGTTTGCCCTTGAGTTGCAGCACTATTGCATTTGGATGCATTTTGTCCCAGACGTCTCTCAGCTTCCTGGGGGGCAGGTCCTGCCTGGGGCTTTATGGGTAAAATCATGCCAGGGAAGGCCAGTCCTCACGGGCATTCCCAACGGTGCCCACAGGCATGCACTCCTCTGTGGGCACGCATCCCACCTTCACACCAGCCCTGTGAGGTTGACACCGTCACCGCTCATTGTCCAGAGAGGGAAGCTGAGGCTCCTGGCGGTGAGCTGACTTTCCCACACTCACACCCCACAAAGGGGCTGTCTCGGTTACTTTTCTCTCGTTGCTGAGACAAAATACCCAGCGCCCAAAATGAAGGAAGGAAAGGTTTATTTAGCTTACAGTTTGTGGAGGTTTCAGTCCATACTTGGCTGGCTCTGAGGCAGAAGGTAGCAAAGCAACAAGAGCAAACAGGGGAATGGCAGCCAAACAGCAAACAGCCAGAGCAAAAGGGAGGAACAGCGGCAAGCAGCTTCTTTCCCTGCCTTACTTTGTAAACAGGCTACCCCCACCTAAGGGGCGTGTAGCTCTCATATAATCTCCATGCCCTCCTCTTCCACAGGCTCAGGATGTATACCAAGTAAGCACCCTGGCTTCCTGCTGAGCCACTTAGCCAAACCTCTAGACTCCCCAAGTTGACACAATGTATCAACCATAACAAGGGCACAGCCAGGATCCCAGGCCAGGTCATGTGCCATGAAGCGCAGGCACAAATATTCTTTCCAGATCTACCCTCCAGTTCACCTGCATTTCACACCCTTACAGACTCTCCCCTGAAATCTAGAAGCCCAAGCCACAACACGCCCGGGGCTTGGCCAAAGAGCAGCATCTGCCACGTTGCCCTAACTCCCTTCTGCACCCCCACCCTGCAAAACGTAAGGCCAGGACGAGAAGGAGCCACTGTTCTGCTGGGCGACATCAGTCCCTAAGACGGTAGACCTGGCTCACGAGGCAGAGCCTGAGCACGGTGCGGGTGTTGAAGCCCAGCCACAGGCCACCCCCACCTCCCAGGGAGGCCACAGCCAGGGCATGGGAACAGGAGGATGGGGGAAGTCTGGCCCTCCTGGAAATGCCCTGCCAGCCGGGCAGAGCCAGGTCCAGGGCTGGCCAAGTGTCCTTGGTATGCTGGAGGCATCTGCCCTGGAAACCAGAGCCCCAGGGCCAGGTCCTGCTGTTCTCAAGGGAGCGCTGGCTGCTGCAAAAGACTCCGCAATGCCCCCGTGCTCCAAGTTGGAAGGTGGAGCCCAGGGCCCCTTCGGGGCTTCCAGTGACTCGAGTGCGGCCTCCCTCCACCTCGGGTGGGTCGGAGCCCAGCATCCATCCCATGTGCCAGAAGGTGGTAAACTCACTCCATGCCCAGGAGAAAGCTCAGATCTCAGTGTCAGCCAGCTTCCAATGGGTGCCCCCGATGGGAGGAGCAGAGCTCGATTCCGGAAAACTCAAGCTCAGAGCTAAGGGCTCAAACTGTGAGCCATGTCAGCCTGGATCTGCCACTCAGCAGGGATGCATACCTGGGTGACTCACCTGCTGCCTCTGAGGGTCAGTTTCCCCATCCATAAAGGGTATAAGACAGCAGTGATTGTAAAGACTTCAAAGGATTTAGACAATGCCAGACGGTTAAGGTGCAGGCTCTCCTGGCTCACCCACTTACTGGCTGCGGGAATTTGTCTAGATCTCTTAATCTCTCTGGGCCTCTGTTTTCTCACCTGTAAAATGGGGGTAATTATAACCAGGCTGTTGGGAGGACTAATTAGTTCTGGCAGAGCCCAGCACAAGGTTAATGGTATCATCATTAATGCTTTGCTTTTCTCTCTGGGGGAAGCGCCTCATTACAAATCACCCTGCAGCCCACGGGGTCTAACTCTGACAGGGACACAGACCTCCACCCACCTTCTTTCTTTCCAGTATCGCTCCCTGCTTTAAGCACCGCAGTGGTTTTCCTGCTGCCCCCTAGTGGCTGGATGTTGTAGTGCAGCCTCCCGGCCCCGCGTTTTCCAGGCCGGTTCCAAGCAGAAGCGGTGGCCAGCGGAAGCGGCGAGGTGTGACAACAGCACCCGCCCTGGCTGCACACCCCCGCTCCTCAGCCGCACGCCACAGCCAGCAGCAGCAGGCAGCGTCGCCCTATCCGAGGCTTCTCCACTCAGGAGGCTAAGAACACAGAAGTTCCTGTCCCCAAAGGAGCTGCCTCTGCCTTTCCCTGGCTGAATGACCGTGGGCTCACCCTGGCCTCTCTGTGTTCGGATGTGTCTGTGACCCAGGGACCAGAGGGCCCCCAATTTGACCTTCAGGTTTCTCTATCTCACTTCTTTGGGCCACCCTCGCAGAAGACAGGGCACCCACTTTGGCAGTGCGCAGATCCCAGCAGCTTCCAGAAGGGACCAGAGCCAGGCGTCTCTGCCTGTGTCCCCACTCTGGCCTGACCCATGACTCTACCCTCCTTTCCTGCTCTGTGGAAATCCTGCGTGACCCAGGGGCAGCTGTGTACCCTGTCTGGGCCACAGACCCCTTGGAAACACAATACTTTGTCCCAGCAAATGTCGTTTGTGCCCACAATGTTACACACACAACTTAGCCGCTTCCCAGACCTCCTGAAACTGAGGAGGGCCCTGCCCCAGAGGCCTGACCCTTTCACTACTCAGGAGCCGCCGCCCTGTGGCAGGGAGGGCTCCAGGGATCCGCTTATACTGACAAGCACTGAGCACCTAACATGTAGTGTCAAAACAGCCAGGGCCAGAGAACACGGTGTGATACCTGCCACCATCTCTGGTTTTATAAGAAGCATGCACAAATATTTATATACCTGCAGACACACCACTGGGAATGCCAACCCAGAACTGCGTGCCCCGCGGGGGTGAAGCCAGAGATACTTCATGAGGAGCTTTTGGTTCCCTTTGAGCTCATTACCTCAGAGACAGACTGAAGCCACTTCACACAAGAGCTGGAGAGGTGACTGATGACAGGGTGGGGCCCTTCCTGTCCTGTCCCCAGGGCACTGCCGACCAGCCGTCCCCTTCCCCATTTACAAGGCGCCCCTGGTCCTCCTAGAGCTGGGCTTTCCCAGCTTGGGTGGCCGCTAAGGACAGCAATTAGCTGGAGACCACTGGGGCAGGGCAGAAGCTGACGCTGTGGGGAATAGCTGCCTCTGAACTTGGGGAACGCTCCCTTCCTCTCTCCTCCCAGAACTCTTTTATAAAATCCAAGTGGTGCAGAGGGAGAGCAGACAAAAAGGAAACTAATATGGTCTCTGAGCAGACTCTGGAGCTGGGATGGAGGAGCCCCAAGGCTCTGGGGTGCCAGGAATCAGAGCAAAGGGCAGGGGACTGGACAGGGAACCGGACAGGGAACCGGACAGGGAAGGAGGAGTTGGCTGGGACGGAGACTGCGGGAGGGAATGCTTAATCCCGGGTCTGCAGAAGCCAAGGCTGATCCGTCAGAGATGTTTGTTTAGTTAAGGATCAAAAACATAAAACAGCAAGGTCTTCTTCCTCCCTAGGAAAATTAGGTGATGCAAATGAGGCAAGGGGAAAACACGAGCCTGAAAGTCCAAAAGAAGTAGAAACAAGGTCAGCATGTAACAGTGGCCTGTGGGCTACACATAGGGGTCAGAGCTTCCTGGCAGTCAGTGGGGAAAAGAGAAGTATTTCTATGTTTATAGGATCTATGAGATAAAGACTAGAGCTTGTTGACTCAAGAAACGTCCAGCTACTCTAACTATTTTGCACAAGATTTCTCCAAAGAGGTCTTCTGAGCCCTGTCCTGAAGATCTCACACCTAATAAAACCACAGAACCTGTACCCTGGGCCATATGGGAGCAAAGCCCGACAGTGGGGGCCCCAGCGCTTCTCTCTGGGGTCACACCACCTCCACTTGAACCACATCAACAGGTTCTACAGAATCCACATCAACACAAATATGGTGGTTGTGGACAATTTTGAGAGTCCCTAGGCCACAAAGACCCCCACATGGACCCACAGCACCTCCTCCAGGCACCGAGGTGGATGCGTAGCCTTACTGCCATGGTTTCCATGACAACCACACTGAAGGATGCCCTAGGACATCCTCCACATCTGCACCCTCAGCAGAGCTGCCTGGCTGCCTCTTGGCCATTCCAGCGTCCATGAGTAAAGGCCCTAGGGACACCTGGGCACCTCAAGCTTCCTTGAGAAGCCAGCCACGAGAACTGAAGGGAGAGCCTGGCCTGACTGGTGGCCGGGTACGCTGAGCAGGGCCTAGGTGTGACCCTCTCTGCTGGTGCTTCACAGCCAGGAGACCGGGCAAAGCACTTCACCTCTGCAGGCTTATGGTCCCCAGACGAAATGCAGGACACATCACGGGTCTCCCAAATGCGGAGGCCGTGCGACACGCACCTGGTGATGCCCGCAGCTCAAACAGAGCTGGGCACACCACAAGAGGGCTTGCTCTGGAATGTGAAGAGTTTAAAGACACCACAGCCCCCTCCACAGGAGCGCCATGGTGTGTGTGGCTGGGGACCCTTACTGCCCTGCCTGCAGAGACCTGGCTTGCCTGGGGAAAGGAAGATGCCGTGCTGTCCTGCCTTGGGCCCACAGTCAGTCACCTCCCAGCCCCGGCACAAGGCCCCAGTGTGCCTGGCTCCTGCGGGGGATGAGTCAGAAGGCTGCTTCCCTGTCTCAAGCTGGCCTGAGGTAGGCGGGACTCTTTTGCCCAATGCTAGGCGGAAGAGCCCCGGTTTCCTGTTCCCCCCACCAGCACCCACCAGAAGCCACAGCCAAGTGGGAATAGTACAGATCCCAGCTTCAGGGATGGGAGGAAAACATTAACAAGGGCTGAGCCTAGGCAGCTGCTGCCTGCAGCCAAAGGCAGGTCCATCTGTCCCTGACTCCCAAGTCTGCAGGCTTCAGCTACCTGCACAAGGCCCACCTGGCCCCGCAGGAATGTGGGGAGGGATGGGGCCCTGAATCTCATGCAATGTAGCAGGCCGCAGGTGAGACACACACCTGGCTTGAGCTGAGGCTGCTTGCCTCGTGCCAGTGCCATGGCCACCTTCCCCTTGAGGCCTGGGCAAGTAGTGGACACTTATCTAAGCAGTTTGGGATTCAAACTCAGCTCCAAGCACCCCCAAGCGCCAGCCCTAACCACAGAGTTTAAAACCCCAACCCACAAGAGCAAGAGCATCACCCAGCACTGGGACACGAGACACGAGAGGCAGGGGGCACCAGGCCCAAGGTGACCACCAGGCTCCCCAAACACACTAATGCCCACCTTGACCATAGCCCCCACCTTCACCCAGACAGCGGCTCATCCAATACCTACCAACCATGT